AGAGTAACCCTTTCTTTTAGATGATGAAGCCTAGTTAAGATCTAGCCCTTTGCTTATCTTTCTAGCGTGGAACAAAAGCAAACCGAAGGGCACAAGGCAGGAAATGCATGCGCTGCATACCACGGGACCCTGAGGACCGCTGTCCTGGAAGCGGCTGGGGGCTTCTTTGTGGAAGCTGTAGTTCGCTCCTGAAGCTTTGGCCACCTTTTCCATGATCACCTCGGGCTCCACGTCATCCTCTGCTCTGGCATTTATAGTTACATGGGCTCCCTGAAGCAGCAGGGAATACAAGTTAAATTCACGGGGGAAACACCTACAATTGTTATCTTGGTCTATGCATGCACCACACAATGGTTTGTTTACATGCACTGTATGCTGGTTTGATATAACTCACAGAAAAGCTGTTTATTTTTACAGTAAGCTGTGCAACATTCTCATAGCGTTTCTGTTTTAAAGTCCAGCTTAAAACGCATCAACAACATGCCATTTAGAATAAAAAATAACCTCCGCAAACATAAACAGACAGAAGTAGACATTCAAATGCATATTAAAACTAGATTTGAGTCAAATGTGTAGAGTTTTACCCTGAGGAAAGTAGCCATGGAGCTGACATGATGTGCACATTGCCCTTTCCTGGCGTCCTTTACTCCTTCCCCAGTCTGAAACATAAAGAGATACTCTACAAGTTAAGGGATGGCCACTTAAAAAGGAGGACAAACAAATACAGGATAGTTAAGTGTAACACACACCCCAGTTGATGAGGACATATTTAGGGAGGCCAGAATTTGGATCCTGGACCCGGCAGAAAGCGTACATAATTTTTCCACTGTTCAACTCCTCAACCAACTCCTCCAGTCCTCCATCTGAAGCATAAACATTGTGGTTACTGTGGTTGGTTTTGTAACTGTGGACATTTTTCCTCTTACAAATGTCTGGGTGAGAAAGCAGAGGCAAGCACTCCTTTTGTGCAGATATTCCAGCTGTACGCTGACAACGAAATTCCGGCACACATATTACCATGTTGAGATAATAAAACCGTGATAACTATTTCAGCTCGGTTACTCACCTCCTTTCTCTGCCAGGCGGATATCATTACTGTTTCCCTCGTAGGTGAACAAGGCCCTGTGGAAAACACCGGATTAAGGATATTAAAATACCAGATGAACAGATCACACAGGCAGGCAGAACACAGTTTGTTCCACAGGCTGATGTTGTGCACCATTTCATTCAAAACACTGGATTGTTTTGATCACTCTTAAGCCTCTTTCCAACAGGGTACATTTACAGAAGTAGGGTGTTCGTGTAAATACTATGTAGCTGCCGTTTAAATCCCATTTAACATCAGCCATGTCAGTAATCCTGACAGGATGTGTGTTCCGGCACCAGATAAGATTTCACTGACGTTTCCTCGATACTAAATGTGAAACAAAAAGGATCAGCAGCACTTCACAAATGGATACCTAGTTTATACTGAGCCCTTTTTCTAAAAGAACATTTCCCATGTTTAATCAAATCAAATCAGGTTTTATTTATATAGCACATTTTTAAAACGATTTGTGGTCGAGCCAAAGTGCTGTCCATGCAAATAAAATAAATAACATTACTACAATCGCAAACAGAAGACAATAAATTACAACAGCAAATATAAAAATCAAACACAGGGAAATGTCATGAGTCGTGCTCAGCTCTGACTAGAAGGCCAGGGAGAATAAGTGAGTCTATAGTGAGGATTTAAAAACCCCTAGGGTCTGGGCCGACCTCGCATGGAGGGGCAGAGTGTTCCAGAGCCTGGGGCCAGCTGCTGCGAAGGCTCGGTGCCCTCGGGTTTTGAGCCTGGTCTTGGGCACGATCAGCAATAGCTGGTCAGCAGACCTTAAAGCTCTGGCTGGGGTGTAGCGATGGAGGAGTTTGGCTATATAGGCAGGAGCCAGCCCATTTAGTGCTTTAAAAACAAATAAAAGGATTTTAAAATCAATTCGGAACCGAATTGGAAGCCAGAATTGGGGTGATGCGGTGACGCTTTTTGTGGCCAGTGAGAAGACACGCAGCTGCGTTTTGGACTAGCTGCAGGCGTCTAATTAACGCCTGGTCCATACCCACGTATAGGGCGTTGCAATAATCCAGTCTTGAGGTAACAAAGGCATTAATAACCCTTTCTAGGTCTTTAAAAGATAAAAACGACTTGGTTTTGGCCAATAGTCTCATTTAAAAAAAGCAGGATTTGACTACGGTGCTGACCTGCTTATCACATTTAAAAGCGATATTGAAGGTCACTCCAAGGTTCAGAGGGGAGGATGTTTTTATTGAGGGAGCCCAGAATATCAACCATTTCATTTCTGTATTGGAGTTAATATTAGGGAAATGCTACATAAATCATATTCATCTAAATATTAAGGAGACAAACACTTACCAGAGTGACTTGTGGCAATGCTTTCCTGTGTTGTAAATGATGCTAAACTAAATATGTGTTGGATTGTTGGCTGAACAAAGCAAGTCATTAAATAACGAGCCTTGGGATATGTTTATTCATGATCATTTACTATCAGAAGTTTAACCCATTATGTATCAATGATGCATTTTATCATTGGTTACAGCTGCTATCTGATGTCACACAGATATGACTTGGTACTGCAGTGAAGATGTTAAGCCATTTAATAGAAAACCATTGATGCTCACAGACAAATCATCATTTGGCTTGTTCTTATACACAAACTCCACTCATGATATTCGCTTTTATTAGCCATGTGCTTTATTGTGTTCAACATGATTATCCCCAGAGTTCTTGTAATAACAATGCAAACCAGAACCAATGCATGTTCATTCATGTTCAGTGGCCTTGCAAGTGTTTGTATTTCAGATCAGAAGAGTATAACGCAAACATAGAGCTAGGTAAGTGGAAGTGGCTCACACTGAAACTACTCGATGATTGATGGCTGCTTTTCCTGTCAGCATCATTTCAGAAAACCCCCAAAGCAAGTTGTGGTGTTAGGCGGTGGCTGAGTGAAAAGTGGCACACATTTAACAGACACGTTTTTGACTAAATATGGAGCCTGCCGGGATCCCTGGGCAATTTCTCCGCGAGATTAATTAATTCAGGTCATCATTAAACACAGAAGCTGTCATCAACAGGTTAAACTCAGCCTAAAGGCAAATACATTTACTGCATCAAAGAGGAAGTTCCTGGATTTAACTTCTGATATCTCACCAGGAAGTGGGCGAGATAGCTATCAACCTGTTCATTTAATTGTACGATCCAATTGTATCAAAGTATGATAATAAATCACATGCAAATAATGTAGTGTTTAGCCTGTCGGTTTTCAGTGTACCAAGCTTATTAACAATGTTACTAGCTATTCAGTTAGCTACGTTAACATACGTCGTAATGGCAAATGTGAGAAAATAAAATCTTACTTAATTCAACTTTATCGCTAAATGTAATACGTAGAAGCCTCCTGTTATTAACAAAGTAACATTTAGTCCCGTATTAAGTTTATCCAACGTAAGGATACCTTAACTTACTTGACGACAATGCTAGCCAAAACTGAAGCTAACAAAATGCCTCCTACAATGTGCAAATGTTGTAGTTTTGTTTTTTTAATGCTGCTACTTACCAGTTCGTACTGGATTTTTCGTCCACCACTTCCTTAAATGCAGCTGTTAATGCAGTGCCGTTTTTGCTGAGGTTAACTGCCATCGTTGTGTTTAGTACAGCTAGCCAGCTAGCTATCTATCCGGGATGCGCCCTTCCTATTGGGAGGAGCGGCGTGATGCTGACTTTCAGCTGGGCAGGAAGCTAGGTCAGATAGCAGCTAACCACAGCCACGGTGCACTGCATTTAAATAGCGTGACACACCGAAAAGGCGGAGATAGTTTGCGTTTTTTATTATTCTAATATTGGGTTTAAATATATTTAATTCAAATTGCCAATAGTTATTGAAATTTAGAAAATTCCCTAATTCAGGATGTTTGATCGAATACAAAATAGTCCTGCGCAGAGATTGTGTTGTAAGCACCGCACTAACCTCGCATGAGGTTTTTATGAATGAAATGCACCCTAGACCTAGTTTCACAGGTAAACGGCGTTTACAGCATTTTTTGTAAGTTAGGTAAAGAGTTGCTCTCAACTGTCATTGCGCTGCGGACGCTGCTTTAAGAAAGGGAGACATTTTCTTCCAGCATAGCAAAAGTCCCTTTGCCATGCTGGGAATCAAACCACCAACCCTCTGACTCTAATCATCCACTTACCCTTTGCATCCTGGACATCTCTCGCGATCATTTTACCGCCTGGGGTTCTACGTATATTATGGGTTTACACCATAGACTGTATATATAAAGGTTTACACAGATACAGAAATAAATAAATATATACATTAAAATGAAAATAAATGTAGAAATACATTAAAGACATGTAATAATGCGTGTTCTGTTTTATTCTGAACTTTAATCTTTTTAGTTATACATTTATTTTTTATTGTATGAATTCCTTTATTTATTCCTGTATTTAAGCATTTTTTGTTTTTTTACTTATGTCATGTTCTGACCTCCATCCCTGTGTGCTCGTTCTGTGCATAAAGGTACATATTTTGTTTTATGCTATGCTGATAAAATTATGCCACTTTTTCTAACAAAGTGACGCCATGGCTCGCTATATACTGTTTTAATTGGCATGTCCTGTATTGAATCTCTATCTTTGCATGTTTCAATTTATTTTATTAATTTGTTATTTTTTTAAATATAATCATTTATTTTCATGGTGACTTTGCAACACCTGTCCACGGTGCATCAACAGCAGTTTATATGTATGTGGACTGTCCCTGTTCAATAAACTAATAATACAAATACAACCTTTACACAACTTTCTCTGCTTATAATGTATAAACAGTAATTCGGTTTATTTAGAAGCATTTGCTCCTCATTTCATACCATCAATGGACACAGGGTTCTGGCTCATGGCATACTGCTTTGTTAGACATCGTGAAGACAAAAAAGTTACTGCAGACAACGGTAAACCAAGATGAGCTTTATTCATATGTTATGACAAGATCAATAGTTATCTTGTGTAGGCTATGTGAGGGCAAGTGGACAATCATGGTGGCATTTCAAGCACACATATTCCAAATTTTAAGATGCATGAAGACTGGTCCTGCATTCAGAAAAAGCCAGGATGAAATTTCAAAAACAAAAACATTGGTAGTGTTCAAGCAAGTTTCCATGTCTACTGATGAACCGCATCGCCCATTTGGGGGAAAAGAGCCCTGATAGCAAATGTACAGATTATGACAATGTTCTCTCTATATATCTACAAAATGAGTGTTAAGGCTAAAATTTTAGTCAGAGGTGTTAGGCAGATGAATCGTAACGAAATCCCTGATATCTGGCAAATGGCTGTGAGAAGGTTCTCCAGAGTGCAAAGCATGCCAAGCTGCCTATATAAACTCTATTGAGCACACTGGACAGAAGGAGTTAATGTCACGCCACTCACAGGATGAATTGAAGCTGCATTCAATCATAAAGTTGGAAGATACTCTGCTTTCAAATAAATAAATAGCCAAATGAACAAACAACACAGACAAAGTAGTACTATAATCAAGTCATTTTCAATTGTGGACTGACAGCAAAAGACTATCACTGCATCAGAGGGTTTTCAAAACATATTAGTGTTTACTGTATTTAAGGACAACTTGTTTTGACCATTTTCTCAACATCAGCAAACATTCATGAAAATCTATATTTGGCGCCTAAACCATGGGGTAATTCTACAATCAAAGCCTTTCAAATGTCCATGCTTTAGTATTGGCCTTTCTGGATAAACACACTCGATAATGCCTAAAAAGCTAAATTTATTCCCCGTTATGTCAAATAATTCCCTTTATGTTGGCAGCATCAGCACATTATGAGCCATGTTGAAAAGAAAGAAAAATATCATAGCATTTCTTTACTACTTTATCCAACAGTTACAATGGATTATATTTAAACCAATATTACATAATGACACATCACGATCTTGTTAAATTCTGGTGACATGAATGAAAAATAAAATGCCTTTCACTAAAGCTTTCAATACAATAAAAGAGGTCACAAATGTATCACAGAGACAAACTGTTTTACTGTCAGTGTGGATGATTAATCCCAAAACAAACCTTTGCAGACCCGAATATGAACATAAAGAAATGATGACAAACTTCACATCACTTGATATGTAAAGCAGATGAAATTCTCATGGCAACTGTATTAATTCCCCTCAAGTAACACGATTCACATGACTCGATATTACCATGTTTTGAAAATGTCAAGTCTGTTTGAGTTCCCATTTTGAATGAGTGACACAGGCTGTAGCAAAAGGCCATTTCATTTTAGAAGAACAGTAGCATGTAAAAGCTCTTCACATCCGAGTGTTATTCAAAAATAAATGGAGATGGTAATGCAAAGAACTTGAGAGATGATAAAATAAAAATCGCTCTGTGACTAAATGACAGTACTTCGAGGACAGCTTATTTGTGTGTACACACTATGAAGAACTTCAGGAGTGCTGATCTGTCTTTGATCATGTTGCCTCTTTAGGAAGTGTGTATGTTTTCCTTTTTTGTGAACAAAACATTGAACTAATGTCAGTACAATTTTTAAGAAGCCTGCTCATTTTTCTCACCATGGGTCACTGCATGTGAAGGCTGATGTTTTGATTAGATACCTGAGTAACTGCACTGAGGTGGTGGCACACATTCAGCTAGATGCCAAAGAGTAGCCATGTTCATAGCTACACAACAAGTAATAAGTCAAACAGTAGTATTTTCTGCACTATGGACACCAGCCATGGGTGGTTACTTATATGGAATATAAGTGCAATGACAGCATGTGTGAGAAAAATGGAGGTAGACATTTGCCCTATGGAGCACCACTGAAGTGAGGCAAGGGCCAGCTGGCTGTTAACAGCAGCTCTCCAATGTCCTCAAACGCACTTAAGTACTGTCGCTATTTAAATGCAGTGAGTGATAAGAGACTGATCCTTCTTTACACCTTTCACATTGTTTGGGGGTAGAGACAGCATGTGCCAACAGATCGACTGCTGGTAATGGCACTGCACCACTTCGTGTTGAACAGGGAACATTCTGCCTCAATTGCACATAAACCGAAAATAAAAACACAGAAAGGCCACTAAATACACGGAAACACAGTAATAACAAGACATCCAGTGGGACATAGACAAGTACCTCTGAAATAAAGGGAGAGCCAATCTCCGAAATAAACGTTTGCTTTCCGAGTAGCATAATGATATGACTCATTGAGGGTGAAAATGATGCGAATGAATAGCAAAGATGAAGGTGATAATCACAAAAGCAGGAGTAACAGTTTAAAGTCTGAGTGTGGCGGTATGGACTGTGAAGAGTATTTCCGGTATTCCATATGGGAGTGCTTTAAGGAGCCTGTCAGGTCCTGCTCAGCAGATCCATACAAGTCATGAAGGACAGCACATGGTAGCAGCTCAGCACATGGAAAGCCAGGTGGCACTGTACCTCATTGTATCGCTTCCTCCTCCAAAAGATGTTGTCTAGTTTAGTTTTTTTCCCCCTCTGTCGCTCATTTGCCTCAAGTTACAAATCAAACGTGTTTATTTTGTTCTCATTTGTATTTTGATCTCCCTGGCCTTCTCACATTGCGTACTTATGTGTCCATTCTCTCGCTGATTTGTTGTACCTGTAAGACAAAGGCAACGTTTGTAAGAGGTTTCAGGTGAACATAAAAACTGAAGGATTTATCTCCAAACAGTAGTACGACTGAGTAAATCTGATCAATGTTTTACACTCACTTTTCCCTGTCAGCCTTGTATGTATGGGCGATCTCTGGCACCAGTGGGTCGTCAGGGTTTGGATCACAGAGAAGAGAGCAGATAGACAATAATACTGTGGAAGAATGGATAAGGGAGAAATTAGATGACTAACAAAAACTGGGGATTTATTGGCTAAGGCACTAAGTAGTTGAGCAGTGTTTCTTTACATAATCCCCACAGTCGAGCCTATATATTAATATATACATGACCAAATAGCAGAACCTCATTTTAGACATGGCTTTATTTGCCCTGACGGTCTCATGTTACATTTATAAATTGCCACTTATAGTCATTGACCCGATTTGACATTTTAAACACTTGTGAAACTTGAGCTTCACGGTTATAGACTGGCCTTGAACATTTTCAAATAAGATGTATCCAAATCCCCAGATGCACATGATAAAAACCTGTTATGATGAATAGGAAAAGCAGCAAACAGAGTAAAGAATGTTATTAAAAGTCAGTGCTCTTAGGGATGTTGCAACAAATTACATTTTTGGAAATATACATGAACAGCATTTTGGCACTGGGGCATAAGAGAAAACACAGTCAGAGTATAAAGAAAGTTAATCAAAGTTAGTGACACTTGGAAGTCTAGAAGAGGATCTACCTAGGGTATGATTGTACCTAGAAATACAATTTGAAAAAATGACATCTTGTTATTCAAGTTTCATCATTAGGATTCCACTTGTCTCATGACATTGCAGTGGTGTATTTGCAGCTATTCTCCCTGAATCTGTGTAAGAACTCAAATGTGTGTTTTTGTATTTCTTTAAATTAAAAGGCTATATGTTTGCCAATTATTGCCTCTTGGCTTAATGATGTGGAAACTTCAACATCCTCTATAGACCCTTCTTCAAATGGACATTTTGACTTGAAAAACCCAGGATTGGCTATTAACATCATATACAGTTTGCATCATATTAAAGGTGGGGTAGGTAAGTTTCAGAAACCGGCTCGAGTGCACTAAAATTTGAAAGTCCACAGCCGAAAAGAATCCGCCCCTTCCTTCAGACTTCCTTACAGAGCACCTCCTCCAACACACATGGACGCGCACATGACGTCAGCAGACTGGTGAAAGTGGCCGCCTGTTGCTGGCGAGTCATTGAAGTACTGCTGCAATGCACGCCCAATGACGGCACGCCCAATGAGGGCACGAGATATATTTGTGCGTGCACGAGATGGAAGGCTGACAGACAGGGCGACAATCCAATTACTGCTTCCACAGATGACATTTTTTTATGGATTTTTTGTCGAAGCACTTAAGATATTCATTGCTATCGGGATGTTAAGAGCATTCCATGGAATATAACAAAAAGTGTATCTCGAGCCGGTTTCTGAAACTTACCTACCCCACTTTTAAGCTGCATTTAACAATGTTCTAAGACAGTGGTTCTCAAACTTTTTTCAATAATGTACCCCCTTTGAAAAAGAAATTCAGCCAAGTACCCCCTGATCAGCGCAAAAACTATTTGTTAAGGAAAACATGCCTATATAAAGAGGTACAGTACAGCGCTGCACCATCAGTGTCTGATTTATTAAAACAACATTGTAACTGAGAAACACTTAAATGCTACATTTCAAATGTTTACAATCCATCACTAAATTCATGGCAAACCAATTTTAACATCATGAGACGACATTAGTTGCATTGAACTGATCTTTTTAATAAGTTGTACTTACAATGTAGTGAAACATGGGCTCGTGCTTCACTGAGGATCTTTGTCATTCTGACAGGGAGGCACCTGCAGTTATTACACTTCGCGTTTTGAAATATGTGCAACTCTGTTAATATAAAACCCACACTGCTCAAACTTCCTTACTTTTTCAAAAATTGGTATATCTATTTATTTTGGGGCGTGGGGAATGAAGAGAAAAATATATGAGCATTTTATGAGCATGGGATTTTGACTCCTCATAAAAACATTATGCATAATGCTGCCTATACTTTGCGGCCACACGCCGTTGCCAAGCAACGCTTATTGTTTAGGTCCTTTGATAAGCAGGCAGTCATAATTAACTAGAACTAGCTAGATCTGATAGATTTGGACATAAACGCGAGTGAAGTCTAACCGGACGCGAGAGAGAGATCAGATATCAGATCAGCTGCTGCTGACGGAGAACACGCAGCTCTGCATGATCACAGCTCCGTCCGCTGTGACGGACCGTTGAGCCGAGCACTTAGCTAGTTTATCTACTCTGGAACTAGCTAAACTATTTATAAATATGTTTATTATTTACTGTCGGGTCACTTATTACAGGTTCAACGAGCTGCACGAGACTGACGGGCTGTCAGGAGAGGAAGAGGAAAAGAGAGCACCCCGTTTACTTTTCCCATTTTATTATCCAGAATTACTGTACACTTTTGAATAAAGTAGTTAATCTACTATTAGTAGTTTGTGTAAATGCATTAGTTATGTTTTATTTTTTCATTCACATAAAATAAATCTCCCGTACCCCCTGCAGTACTCCAACGTACCCCTAGGGGTCCGCGTACCCCCATTTGAGAACCACTGTTCTAATACATATCACGTACCTTTTGAAACTGTAAGTGCAGGTGACCATTGTGATCTCAGTATATCCAGACAAATACTTCCATTGCTGTTGATATTGGGATGGTAAATTTTAGTTGTGAATGCAACCTAGGAGAAAATGGAAAAATAATGTTATTTTCCAGTTAAGCCCATAACCTTTACCACAGTAATATTAATGAATAATAAGTGAGTTCATTTTTTTTTTTCACGACTCACTTTGGGTGGTTTGAAGGGGTAATCTGTTGGGAAGTGAATGGTGAGGAAAAACACTCCGCTTTGATATGGACTGTCACTCTATAGAAGTAAAAATAGAAACAAATCAAGTAAGTTGACAACAATGTTTTTGATATTTCAATCAAATTAGAATTTGGTCAAGAATCGGTTTCACTTACGGGACCCATTATTGTTGCCTGCCAATGAAATACTGGAGAAAAAATAGATAAAGCACTTAGAACATACATCTGTAAGCAAATTCCTGACACAGAATCACATTCTCCAACAATGAGGTCATATTATGTTCAGGATCATACTGATGCAGCAATCTCCTAACTACTTACAATCCTCTCCAACTGGTCCAGCGGAGCATTGTGCAGGCGGGTCCCTCTGCAGGTCAGACAGCTCCTGAAGGCAACACAATCACATATAATACAATTGTGAATTTACTGTTCATTTGCAGTCTGGTACAACAACTATGCTTTTTGCAAAGAAATCACATACATCTTAAAATGGTGGTTGCATGGAGTGGTTGCTTTACATTTATGTATGCTGGGAGACTCATGTCTGTGGAAACTGGAAAGCCAACTTAACCTTTCTGGTGTTGGAACCCAATTTCTAGACATGTTGTATTACTGGAAAAACTAGTATTTGGGCTGTTGCCATGTGGTTTAAGTACAGATGACATAAAGTATAAACATCAGTTACATTTACACCGGAAGGTTATATACAAAAGTAACAATAGAAACGAAACAAAAATGTTCCTAATAAAATAAACAAGGCTAAGGCATACACGTGTATGTTAAATTCCACTTATTATATCAACAACGAGCTCTTTTGCCAAACGCCACATCATACTATTCACCAAACGACAGCACGGGGAGAAAAACAACAGATGGTTAAACATAAATTAAGCCTGTTATTTAACGGGCTTTGTGTATCTCTTAAAATGAACCCTATCTATTCAGTTATATAAATACACACCGCGGCCTGCTCCAATGGCCCATTTGCCACTCCATATATGGAAACAGTGACACTAGGGTTCAATTTTGGCAACATGAACGCATCTGTCATAAAGCTACTAAACACACCACTAGCCGTACCATTAGTGAGCAACCACAAAGATAAAGACACTGTCAGGTTAATAATTTAAAACCAAACCCTGTAACGTTACACCTCAATCAATCAATCAAACCAGAGAACAGTTAGCTTGCTGCTAGCCTAAATCTGCATTGCGAAACAACTTGTTTGGCGTATCAGATAACGCTTACAACCTATTCTGTATAATACATATACTGAAGTATTAATAATGTTCCAAGGAATGAATTACAAATAAACACAAACACGACGTAGCTGTCAGAATAATGACGCTGTTTGGGTTGTTATCGATAGCTAACGGTAACGTAGCAATGCACCAACAGGGCCACCAGTGGTTAGTCTTTGTCCGTACATTATTTTAACATGGAGCACAAAAACAAGCGAGTCATGCTAAGGATATATTAAATATAATGCTGTACACTGCTACGATAGGAACAAAGGGTCACACGGTCAGAAAATAATGTAAAGTACTGTTAGCATTTTCAAAAAAATACACTCACCTTCTGAATTCGTTTCAACGCCATTGAATCAATGGCTAAAGCTTTGTAGCCTGTCAGCTAACAGCTAGCACTTCACACATACAATTTGGCTTCCGTGGCCGCGTACTTCCCAATCTCACTTAATGTTTATCAGGAAATCACGTCTTATTTAAAGCAGGTTTGGGGTTTGGGGTTTGCAGTTCAACCAAAGCGACAAATTGTGGGTTAAATATTGATCTTTCGTTCGCTTGCCACAGAGCAACCGAGATATTTAGCTGTCTCTTCTCTGATCTCGTTGCTCCTCCCGGTGCATGGCAAACCGTTTTTTTGTAATATCGCGAGACTTGTCGTACAAATCCTGAATTGACACTTCTGTTCTGTTCGTCGAAATACAATTTAATTTAAATTGATGACAGCTTGGACACGGTCCACTTCTCAAAATCAAATATATATCACTTTTAATGATTAGGGCAGATCATTACAATGATCAATCTTTTTACAAAACAACTGCATGTGACCACTTTTTGATTAAAATGACTGTTTAGCATTACTAATGCTATGAAACAAAACTCCAGAGTTCTCCATATGTTTTCAGATTTCTTCCTATGTTTTGGCTGTGTCCACCAATTAGATGCTTTCTGTTTGCCACTTTATAACGTGCTTTCTTATATCAAAAGTTATTCATTATAAATACATTCAAAAATCACTAATGTAATCACTATCTGTATCATCAACATCACGGCACTAATACTAAATAAATGAATTCGGTGTTGTAACAACAGGGTCATACATTGTTTCAAACAAATAGCCTACTACAATGTATGACTTTGTGTAAGACACAATAACTGAGGCCAGGTGTCCACAAGATGTCACTATTTGAAAAGAGCAAAAACACACAAGAAAGAAAGGGGCAGAATTAAATGGATTATATACAGCTTTGACCTGAAAACGCGTTAGCAAGATCTATAGTGTCATTTATCAAAATAAATGCTGCAGGCTCAGAATAAATTAATTCATTTAAAAAGTGTGTCTGTAAATTAATTTGCTCAAGTGCAAAAGTGCAGGACAATGGAGCTGCAAAGTACAATACAGCCAAACAGATGTATTATTTACGAGTACATAGGAATAAAGAAAAACAAGACTATAGAATTGTTCATTCAATACCCAATCATTGTAAAGGCATATTCATCTGAGTCAGCTGCGTGCTCCGGTTTCTGCACAGCCTTGTCTTGCAAAGCCTCATGAGCTTCCCTTTATATGTCTTAAACAAGAGTGAAAAAAGAGCTCTCATTATTTTAGTGAGTATGTATGAATGGACCGCAGTGTTCATTCTTCTTAAATGGCTGATTCAGTGTCAGGTTGAGGATCCTATCGTCAATGTGACACTGAGAGGGACCATTTTCCTTTGGAAAGCTGAAGATTCCTTCAGATAATATCTTATTGTTTGCTCATCTCTGTGCTCTCAATGACCTGCCTGTCCTCGGGGCCTGCCTGTAATCAGATTCAGCAGCAGAGGTAGCAGTTTGGTTCTTGTGCAGCAGGGGCCTTGTGTTCGGAGTTTGTCTACTTGGAGAGGCCATTTATCAGCATGAGGTTTTCAGACACAGTCAAGCCCACACTTTGTTGGCTTGAAGCCTCGGTTCACAAAGCCTCCCACAGTCATCCTACTGTAGCTTCCTCTGAAATCTCAAATCACATTGGTTTGCTTGCTACTGTGTACTTTAAAACCTACAAGGATTTTATAGTGGACAAATTGTGAGACCTCCACAGTAACGGGTGATGCTACCTTTAATCGTTCACAGAGGGGGAAGAAGTATTCAGATGCTTTACTTTGGTAAAAGTACCAATACATTTATGTCAAAATACTTCATTACAAGTTAAAGTCCAGCATTCAAACTCTTACTTAAGTAAAAATACTCTCAGCAAAAATGTACATAACGTATAAAAAGTAATCATGTGCAGAAAAAATTGTCTTTGTGTGTGTATATAATTATATTTATAAATGTGACATTTCTAGATATTCTTCTTGCACCATGTAGCATTTGACTGTAGACAAACAAAGTTCTGAATAACTTTTTGTCAAATATTTAAATAATTTGACTCTTTTGTGACTTAAGGAGTAAGTCCTTTAGTCAGATTTTTAGAGTTGCGTTTTGTTAAAAGTAGCTAAAGTTGTAAATGAAGTGGAGAACAATTATATTATTACCCTTTTAAATGTAATGGAGTAGAAGTATAGAGTAGCATAAAATGGAAATACAAAATTCAAGTACTAGTAACTCTAACTTTCACTAAATGACAGTACTTTAGTAAATGTACTTAGTTACTTCCCACCTCTGTTCCTTCACAGCAATAAGCAAGACATCTTGTGGTTTCTATAAGGCAACATATCACTGATCTGTATGGGGAATTTCCCACCTATAAGATGAGTTTTTAGTTACAGGACTAGTGCCCCATGTTCCAGATTGATGTATGAGCCAAGGTGTGAGCGTGTCAGGGCTGAGATGATATGGGTGGGGGTTGGAGCTTAGTTGACCTGTCTCATGAGGAATATAGCCTTTAGTGCTGTTATTTGAAACCATGGACTCAACAGACTCCAGTGATCTGTCTTTTTGGTCACATGAATCATCATTAGTTCCATTGTATAACAGAAAGCATTCCACTTATTTAGCCAATTATGCTAAAGCTGCCTCTGAGCTCGAGTATATTCCTCTCCATGGCATTTTTCCCATGGTTGGGATGACAAAGCACATATGCTCACTGTCATTTTCAAAATTAGCTTAAATGAATCTCGCTAATGTCTGAATTATCCAATAAAAGCACAACCAATTAATGCCGAGCACAAGCTGGGCTCAGTCCCCCAGAGGTGTTCTACCTTCGGTCAGTGTATTAGCTTTCTGAGGGCTCTCTTATGGAACAAAGATCCATTGTTCCCACAAACTAAGAGATATTTGTTCACTCCTTGTATCAAGGGTCTTGATTTGATTATACACTCAGGCAATATGCAAGCAGTGCTCATGTTTGCAGTGAAGTCAGCACTCTGCACAATCAAATAATTCTTGAGCTGGGTAACTGGAAAAAAGGGTCATTATGTGTGGAGCAATCACTGTTTCATGGCTCATTTCCTTCGTTGTGATTTGATTCCGCTTGTCAGTGTTAAGGTGGCCTTTGACCTAAAACAAATCTCTGGCTTTCCCCTCAAATCTTACTTTTGCATTTATGTGTATCAATATTAGAGTTTTAGCTTTCCCTCGTCTTCTTTTTGTTTTGTGGACTTTAAAACAAGCTTATACATGACTGCTATGTTTTTATTGGCTTAAAATGTTTAAATGATGCAATCATATAAACATTTATAGCTTCAAGGATGTGCTTATTAAATGGTATTATGTGCTTTAACTGTGGCTGTAGAGTTCTCCGCAGGTTTTATTGGCCTAATTGCATAGTGGTTACAGGATGTTTTATTTACAAGCAGAGGTCCGAGCATAAAAATAATACTTCATTTTAGTGTTCTCACACTGGCCAGACCTGTTAAAAGTGACAGGCTGAGTTGTTTTCTGAATAACAGTTTTTGGACTAACAACAAATAAAAAGTAATATCGACGTACGAGAGGTCCTTTTCAGAAAACCAATTAATTCGATTTAGATTTGACATGTAACATCTTAATTTGGAAAGTAAATTCAGCCATTGTAGAAATATAAAGTAAAATGTGTTAGATTTTCTTCTTAAATAACAACAATAACAAAAAAGGTATCACAAAATGGAAAATCCACAACTTCAAACTGCATTTTATGTAAAAATAATCTTTATTTTCCAAATTTGGATTGAAAAATCGAATTAAATGAATCATTGTTTTTGTTACAACAGCAAGCATGACTTATGGGTCCATCCTCTGGATCATTACTAAAAAGATTTAAGGGTTATCTTTTTAATTCTTCTCTGATTATCAGGATATAATGTGTCTCCAGAGAGTGCAGAAAGTATGAGATCAGATCCAGTCCCCATCACCTCTGATCCACCCTTATCAGATGTGCATCATGTGGAGCACAGACGCGAACCACACATATAGTCATAAAGCGCCAGTAATCCTTTGGGGTTAAGCACTTAAAGCGCCGTCCCCAGAGTCCCCTGTGTCTCTGGGTTGCACCACAGTTTTGGCACGGTGATTGACAGCTCTTGAAACTGTTTTACTGTGCTGCAATGAGAGGTCTCCAGAGCCTATAGGACAGGTAATAACTAGTCTGCAGTGTTGATTAATACGTTTAGCGGTGACTCTCCGTAATCAAATGTCTTCCAGCTGTTTGAGCTCTGATGACAAATTCAGGTTTTCCGAGTTTGCTGAGCTTCCTTGAGAGACAAAGAAGGGATTTCCTCTGAAACAGACAGGCAGTGGCAGCACCAACAAATGGCTTGGGACTGTTATCAAATAGAAAGTCAGACTAAATATAAACGTATCTTCTGCAGCCTGAGCCAGCACCGCAAGAAAAGAGAAAGCAAGAGTTTAAAAAAAGAATCCTGGGACAACGAGAGTAAAGTATCCTTTTGGTCACATTTTAGTCATATTTTCGTCAAAGGGAAATATATTTGTGACGTTATCTTGGTACTTTTGTTACAGCTGACCACACACACACCATCTCTTCAGCAGTTTTGAATAAAGCTGTTGCTGCTGAGGTATTTAAGCAGCCACCTGTTGTATGAGGGGGTTTTAATGTGCAGAGGTGTGTGGTAAGTGTCTGTATTTGTGTGTGAACGTAAGTGACTGGGACATGGGGGGGCTGTCCATCCTGCTGCACAATAAACAGTTTGTTTCCCAGGAGCACCCCTCATGTTCCTGTTGTTGGCTCCATCGCTGCTCACTGGGAAACGTCCTGGCCTCTATTGTCCAGGGGGTCGGGGGGTCACAGGATGCTCCTAAAGGCCCAAAAGGGGAGGTAAGAGGTTGGATAGCGAGGCATGATAAAGAACCACCCCCCCCTCTCTCTATGCACGCAACCCTTAAAAAACAAAACATTAAAATTGCTTCTTTTTTCTCCTCTCTTGTCACAAAGTCTTTCATTCGAACTCCCAGTCATTATTAAGAGTTTCAGGAAATGGAATCAGGACAATGCTCGGACTGACTATTTCATTTTAAACATCCTGAGTACGTTTTTCATAGAGCTCTGTCACTTGCGCTCTTTGCAAATCTTTCATAGAGTCCACAAGCTTTCCCACACAAAATTGGGAAATTCAATCTAAGTAGCTAACAGAGAGTAAGGCATATCATTAAAGAAAGAAAAAACAGCCAAGAAAGGAGTGGTTGTATTGTACCGTTTTCACCACACAA